GATATCATCGGCATAGTCGGCATAGATATGAACGCCCCAGTCGACCTTTCGTGTGTCTTCTGTGCAAAAGTCCTTGTAAACTTCTCATGTTCTTTTAGTGCTTCTGTGGTATCGTGAACTAGCATTCCCGTCCTATCAGGTCTTTGATTATTGTCTTTGGTAGTATCTGTCTCCCAGTTTTTCCTCTTAGATTTCGCCTATGACTTTGACTTCATCTCATGGTTTGATTATAGTTCATTGTGGAATTCTATCCAATATTAACTAATTACTTCAAGTTTGTCGTGAGAATGTTGACTTTGTACTTTTTATCCAATTTGTGATTTATACCAGGGTGATCTTTTTTAACATCTTGTCGACACACCCCGAGGCGGTCCCAAACATGATATTGGTATGCCTGAGACCTATGAGAGACTTTTGCTTCTATATTAGGTATTTAAAGTACAATCGAGAATTCAGACGATTACGAACCCTTTCGACAACATACTATGTACTGTTTTAGAGGTGCTCTCAAAAGTGGTTCCTAAAGCAAATTTTCGTGTCTCGAGGTTCAACTTCGAATAATTTTGCCGGTTTCTACTGTACAGTAACGTATGTAGCCTTCTCAGTCTGATATCAAAATTTTTATCAAGTCGATGGAGTGCAGATGAAAGCAGACTCGTTACTGCTAGCCTAACATCTCGAGCCTACGTCCTTTTCTTCCGGGATGTTATCTGCATGCCATTTAAAGTTACCTCTAAACGTGCTTTCTGGGCGTACTAAGTAGCGTAAGCTAGTAGGCTGTCTGTTTCCATCGTGAGTTTTTTCCCTTTCAATTTACTGGAAATTGCGTCCACGTAAGCAATATTGTTGCAAGGAAATCTTCAACAGAACCGTTGACCGATAGGACCTCATCGATCACGAACGTCCATTGATTCCACCATGATCATTGCCAGCCTATGCTCGATAAGCTTTGGTAAATAAATATAATTCATACCAATATACTCCACAATCTCTGGAGTAGTTTTTGGTGCAAAAGGCCATACTTCTCCTGAGCTTACATCATTGATCCACCCTGAACTCTGTGTTAAGAAATAGTTAAAACGGTAATTGCGAAAAAATTGGTCTCAGTAAAAGTGGATTTCCCATGGTCATTCAACCGGGTTTCTAAGATAAATTTAAATCCTGCCGAGGTAGTTTTAACCAAGGCTAAACACTGTCAAAAATTGAAAAGTGAACTTTTCCACTTGGCTATTAATAATTGCTTTCATTCCCCGTATAAACCTTTTTTTCCGTTGTGAGTCTGCCTCAACGTATGTCAAATGTGCTTTCGTTTTTATCCCATCACATATTCCATCTCATTAACCTGAATCTCAGTCTCTGACTGTTTTTCCGCTAATAACTAGTATTTAATAAAGCGGAAGTGGATATGCGAAGCACCCTCAACACAGGCCATGCGGTCAGAAAATTATGCCTGTTAAAGGTCTACGTTTCTTCCCACCGCCTTTTTTACTTGGTTTTCATTAAAACGTAGAATTTAAATCCTGCTGTCTGTAGTCATGATTTTTTACAGATGCCATCTTCTGCCCCTAGTGGCTTTATTTGCGGCTTCTACACGTAACGCCTGCTAGCTAAAAAAAATGGGTTTTATGGCCGTAGCCTATGTCGTATACTTTTGAGCTGGCTGTTGTCTGCGCCAGTGGGGTGTCAGTTGGCTATGAGAAATCCTTGAAGAGAATTTAACAGTTATTGCTATAGCAGAAAGGTACGAATCCGCGACGGATATCGAAACGTCAGGCGAATAAACATATTGTCCCAGTGATCGAGTCTTCTTCTTTTTCTCAGTTGTTGCTATCTTCGGCAAACCCTTCTCAGACTTATTGCTTGTCGAGTTGTTTCTGACTAATTATTTGCTTTAACTGGGAAAACTGACAAGCATCCTTCACTCTTCAGCTGGATTACCAACACAGAATGGAGTACACTGTATGGCGGAAAACGGGCCGCAGGCGGAGGACAGACGCATTTTCGTCGCCTACCATTCAACTGCTGCAGGTACGATATGAAGCATTCAACTCCTTCAACTCTTCCACCTAGTGTTTCCTTTCAGCCCTTCAAGACGCCTTACTGCACAAGGGAAGGAATCGTCTTCGACTTAGAGTAGGCAGCTTCCTACGATTGTTTTTAAACGTCTAATTTTCTTCCAGAAATATTCTCCCTTTTGTCAAAAAGCATGGCCTGAATCCAGTAACAGGAAAGGTTTGTGCATCCCCCCAATTCCCGGTGATTTACTTCCCATATCCGCTAGAAAATGAAAGCCGGGGAATTGATAAAGCTTAACTTCGCAAAGAACGCTGACGGCAAATATCACTGTCCTGTGACTTTCAAGGTCTTTAACCAGAACACACACATTGTTGCTGTGAGGACGACTGGCAATGTCTATTCTTACGAAGTAGGCACCCTTATCCTTATGGTCTCATTTTTAGGCTGTGGAACGTCTTAATATAAAGGCCAATAATTATTTGGATCTGTTGACATCAAAGCCCTTCACCAAAGAGGACATAATCACCATTCAAGATCCCACACAACTTGAAAAATTTAATATATCCGCCTTCTACCATGTTCGCAACAACATGCTAGAAAAAGGTGTCTCCCTTCTGTCATTTTAATCTCCATTTCTTTTCAGCCGATAACAATAATACAGTCATTCGGTCTGCCAACCAGGAGACCAAAGAGACTCTGGCTGAACTCGAAAAAACTAAGCTCGAGATTCCTGACTACATGTACTCCAACAAACCGAAAGCAGATCCGAATGCAAGAACTCGTGACACGTTCAACACTGCGCATTACTC